AGACTATTAGGAGGGTCGGCAAGGGATATTTTCGTAAGCTGTAATCAATTGTTTTTTTTATTTTCGTAATAATGTAACTTAAATAAATAAAAAAAAACGTAAATTCGTAGACATGGGTAAGGTGTAAAATGTGATCAGCTATAATTTTATGCATCCGTAATTTGTACAGCGATCTTATTTGTTCTAAGTGTATATGTAAACACATTTTCCACGTCAAATGTCGCAATTCTTAAGCAAATCCCAATTATGATTCTTAAATACAAATCAAATATATTATAAACACGTAATTAGGAATTTGCTTTATCTGTAAAATATAAAAAAAAATATTTCTTACTGTAAATTGAATTTTCATTTTATTTCCCTTAAAACGTAAAATGTCTTTTTTTATTTCCTGTATCCTGTACCAGCTAACCCCCTTGCCCCCTTCTATTACATTGAGTTTACGTTATGGCCAACCGCTAAGTTTGTTCTGCTGACTATTTCATTGGTATTGCGCGAATTTGAATGTCTACAATATACCTCTTCGGCAATTACAGTTGTATTTAGCTTCTTCTCTTCCTGGAAAGCTGTGTTTGACTCTGCACTCGAATTCAAACCGTTTAGTAGTACATGTATTCGCTAAATCTGAAGGCACTATCAGGGGGAAAACTTCTTTCTCTCGGGTTCTCCACACTTGTCAGGGGGAAACTCGTCTCGTCTCTCTATCTCGTCCCCTTGAGGTACGGGATCGGGAATGTCACTTATACTTTACAGTCAAATAAGACACACACAACGAAATACGTTTCAGCTCTCGTCTTAGTCGATCAATCGAGCACTCTATAAGACACAGCGCCCTGGGGAAAAAATCCCCAAGACTCTCGCAAGGCTGACCCAAGACTCGCCCAAGACTGGACTGCCTCAAGGCTCGCCCCTGGACTCTCTCGGACTGCGTCTGTCGTGGAGTCTTCGCCAAGACCAACTCAAACTCTCTTTATTCATTTTCAAAACTCTGACCAATTACAATGCAGTAAAAAGACTCTAGGGCGTAAACTTCAATCATAAAGCCAATCACACTAAGTACTGAATACGTCATATCTTTTGATTAATCGTTCACTACATTAATAACTATGAATACCAACTGTCAGAATCGCGACGGATATCTCGTAATTAGTTCCAAATCACTGAGCCAAGTTCCGTCCAAAACTTCAAATAGGCCTAAACGATGACAGACATAACACAGCAATTCGCTAATAATCAGCTAATTAAGTCGGTCGACAGATACGCGAAAACAAATTCATGACAGCACCGCCTCATCCTGGCGCCTCATCTGCCGTTTCGGGTCACTGCAATCAACCTGTTTTGGATTTGCTAACAAGTTGTCGTTAATCATTCTCAGAGTCCTTGTTCCCTACTTGAACTAACAGCAAGTGTTATACCATAATTAAACTCCCAGTAGATGGCAATGTAAACATTTAAAAACCATGACCACTATGATTTTACACATGGTGTCAATAAGGCCAATAAGTACCCGCAACTAAATAAAATAGTGCTATGTCGAGAATAATAATAAACAACGTCGTGGTAGGAGTAAACCCCACCCCAAGACTGATTTCTACCACACTTGTTCTGTCAATATTAGAAACGATAACCTAGCCGAGCACTAATTATAACAGTTTGTCATTTCCAAGCCGATTGGGTTTCGCTAAGAACCCGCTCATAAATCTAGGTTGTCTTGATTTTTAATTAAGGTGGGTCGCGGGTATTCGCTCTAATAAACAACAGTGAAGAATTTATCTCATTTTTTGTTTGTGTTTCAAAATTTCAAGAATTTACTTCTCAAATTTTCCTAGGCTATGTATGAAGTATTTTTGTGAAGAAAACATCCTAAATATATGCATATATTAAATTTGTTGGAACAATATTAATAAGAAGTCATTTTTTGGAGCCGTGTTAAGTCAATACAGTAACTTCGTAAAAATAAATCACCAGAATGTACTAATAATTCCTGAAACATATAATTAGTCATCATAAACTACATATAATTGTTTCACTATATGTAACCACACAATTTATATATTTTTGTATGGGTTTTGTCATTTTCACACAATAGCATAAAATAAGACTATTATAATGTGTACTCTCGGGGATATGCGATCATTTAATGGTAGCCAACCACCTTAACAGACGTCATTCTGCGTAGTCAAGTGTAGTATGAATCCTATACCTTCAGCCTAACTCGCTGGGTGCAACCCATCGCCTCACAAGGCACATCAGAAACCATGAAATATTGCACTTCATTTTGTACAACACAACTAAAATTTAATTTAAATTAATTTAAATCAATACATGTCTGACAATCGTTCGAAACGGGAGAGTATCGCTACGGTGAATCTGACAGCATCTCAGAAAAAAATAAACCACGTTATGACTCAAAAACTTGTGTAACTTGTTTTTTTTTTTGTTTTTTTGGTTTAACTATCTTTTATTCCATACAATAGAAATTCTTTACAGCACAATGTCAACATACAACAAATGTCACAGCTAGTATAACCCATACAAAATAGACACTGAATACCCATTAACAATTGAAGTCTCCCCACTTGTCCAGGAAAATGGACATTGTATGTCTTCTATTTGAAATTTCTAACTATCTTTTGCGTGTAACGTATGTCAGATTTTATGAGATTAAAGCATGGTAGTTCCTTTTTTAATTTACACGTATAGATATTTCTTTTAACAATTATAATTATATGGTTTAGTAGAGGGGAGAAGTCCTTGTCTCCTAATATAATCTGTTTTGCTGACAATGTTCTTGGGCATACTAGTTTTGTTCCCCATAGATTAGAAATTGATGTCCAGAAGACTTTAATAGACTCGCATTCAACAAAAAGATGCACTAGGTTCTCGGTGGTACCATGACAAAATGAGCATAAATCTGACGATACTAATGGTGAATTCATGTAGAATAACATTTCATTTGTGTACAGGATATTGTGGTTTAATTTCCACTGAAACTCCCGTAGTTTGCTGCATAGAGTTACCAAAAAAGGCATGGAATAATGAAATTCCCAATCCTTGTTATCCAGATTACACAAAGTATTAAGAAAGAGTTGACTTTTGGGTGTTGTAAAAACATGGGAGGTGAACAGCTTACGTAATTGCTTTTGGGTGGTATTTTCAAGTATAATTATTTGTTCACCGGTGACTAGACTAATAGGAGGCTCTGGACGTACACAAATTGCATGGCTATTCCTCAGTCTAATGGCAGTGCAGAGATATGCCATACACTGAGTAGCTGACATA